AAGAATTTACAAAACAGAAAATTTTTTATCTGTATAATTTTATCTCCTTTAAATGTATGCTACATATATATCAGTCTCTCTATATAAAACTATATATGTAAACATAAATGTTCGTTATATTGTGGGCACAAGCAGAGAATAGCCAATTTCAGAAAATGGTCAATGTTTCTTGGTAATAAGAAATGTAAAAACTGAGAATGAAGTTACTTCCTTGTTCTTACCTAGGTGATCATTTTCAGGGAGGTAAATATTTCATGATTTGCTCTTTCGTAAGTTTCATTTTCCTTATAGAAATTGCTTCCCATTTCGCTCCCCCCGTTCATCTGTATATTTATTCATTCATTTCTTTGTGAGTAATTAGATGTAGGTATTAGGAATCTTGGGCCCAACCCTGTAGTAGAAGTAGTATAGGTAATGTAGTAGAAAATTACAAGTAAGCCATCTGAAGTCCTAGGTTTTCATTGTGGTTCTGCCGCCTACTACTAGTGCGTTCTAGGCAAGTGTCTTCATCTAAGAAAGAAAAGTTTATATATGTGGATTATAATTTTACAGGGCTTACTAGATAGGAGTTCCTGCCCGTTCTTCGATGCTCACTACTTCATTTTAAAGCCTCACTCACTATTGAGCAGCCCTAGGCCAATACAGAGGACTAGTCCAATTTAGAAAATATAGATGTTTGTTCTGACCTTAGAAACATTTAATAGCATTTATCTGAACATCACCAGTTGATATTTGTAGACCAAATCTTCCATCAGGTCTGGCTATGTGAAAAAATAATATTAGCATAAAGTAGGCTTCGAAGAAGTTTTGTTTCTTATTTTCATTCAGTTAGGTTCACCTTGGCTCATTTAGATAGTTTGAGCTGATCCTGACACCTTACAAGCAAGCACCTTTCCTCTCTCTCTCTCTCTGTCTCTCTCTCTCTCTGTCTGTCTCTCTCTCTCTCTCTCTCTATATATATATATATAGATAGATGATAGATAGATATTATACACACACACACACACATATATGTATATATGTATATATGTGTGTGTGTGTGTGTATA